GTTTGCTGTGTCAGCAGCCATATTGGATGTAGAGGAAATAATACCCTGACACATGAACAGGGTTTCCTGCAGTGCAGGTGTCTGCTTACTTCCAGGAATCTTGATATTTTGCAACAGCAGTTAGAAAATCAGAAAAGTAAATCCATGTGTGTCACTTTAATCCAGGGGCAAAATGATTTTTCATCCATGTTTATGTGATGTTTAAGAAAACTTTGAATGTTCCCAGTTTCCTTCTGTCTGATTGGATGTGCCCTCTGGCAGCGCGTACCCATCTGAATAACGATTTAAGGAAAAAAAAGGCAAGCAGCTGGGGCGTGTGCGCTCGTCTGTGCGCTCGTCTGCGCTGCTCTAAATAGGTGCGTTGGGGGTTTCTACCAGCCCAGCTTCTCACTTTCAAACACGTCACACGCACACTGGTGTTTTTATAGCTACGAGGATGCTCGCTGACACCCCCGAGTCCCTAAACCCAAAGCAGGGATTATTCTTGGTTGGACACCAACAGCTGCACGCGCCACACGTCAGCTGTCATTGTGTTTGACTTCTTTGAAGTGTGTAGTGCGGTGTCTTTGTGGAGGGCATGCCAGCATTGACATGGAGCCGCTGTCTAATGACACATCTTAGGTCCTTGCAGGTCCCTGTGATTCATAAAGGCCTAATGAAGTCTAACCTCCACAGCTGGACTAGTTCAAACTTGCACTCTTTCCAAAATAGCGTTAGAGTCTGTGTGTCAGGGACTTTCTGAGGAACGGCACACGATGGTCTGGAAACGAGCCGTCGACCTGCACAATGTGTTTATTAGCTTTGCTCTTATTTTCTTGGAATACTTTTATCCCGTTCTGTTTGTGAGGAATTTATAAGTCATGCATTTCACTGCATGAACTGATTAGATGTGGAGGGAACATTTGTGTAGCTGCTAGCAGAGCCAGCTCGCTTTTTCCTCTGGTTTCACATTTTTGTGTTGTGCGTCTGTCCCTTTGTCACAATGTCTCAGAACTGCTCCGACTGCTTGGACGAACAGCTGGCTTGATGATGTTTTTGAATTATGACGTGATTGTCAAACATCAATATCAAAAAGCAGTAACAGTGAGAGGAGGCAGACGCAGGGCGTCAGCGAGCTGCTTACACATGTTGTACACATGTACAAAGAAATCCTTCAGCTAGTGGCTGTCGCCCTGACAGTGGCAGCTTTCCTTATAAATGCCTTTAAACTTCTTCACACACACATTTAAACGTGAACAGCAGAGAGATTTCTACACTCAGCACAGTGTCAAAGTACGCTCCAAGATTAATGTAATCAGTTTAGTGTTCAAACAGACTGAGAGCATTAGCAGCCTGGCACCTGCTGGGTCTGAGCCGACCTCTGGCATTTCAAGTCTGTCTGCTGTGATTCTGTGTGTTATGCTTGTATTTGTAGCTCAGTGTGTGTTTGACATCCTTCAACAAAGTCCGATCAGCTTTACTGATGTATCCTAACCATGAGACGGTCACCCAGCTACCACAACACTCCTGAACCTGCAGCACATCTCTAATAACAGCGTTGTTGTTTTGAACGTGACTCACTAATGGGTCACGTACAAACATGCTGCATCATCAGAATCCAGTGGGCGGAGCCTCAGTCCTGAGGATGTTTGAGGAAGACTGGAGGAAGAAGTCCTGCATTAGGAGTGTTTCAGTTCCTCTCTGCTCTGCATTCATAACATCAAACTATTAAGTCCTCTTAAAGTAATAAGGTTTATAATAAAGTCCTATTATGACTGAAGTAGTAACGCCATTGTTTCCAGAGAGCCTAAAGCCTCTGCCCATGTTTCATAAGACTTTTTAATGGGGCCCGTTTGGCAGCCGGGAATAACCAATCAGGAGAGGCAGAGCTTTAATATTACAAGCATATTAGCGATCACGGCCATCGGTTGGTAACACAGCGTTGTTTAACCTTTGCCTCTGCACCTGTCAGGGTTTTGAAGTCCCCAACAGAAAAGTGTCAGGTACATGTTCTGCTTTGTGCTGGTGGGAGTAGAACAAGATATTTATACGACTGATTTTCAGGTGGTTACGTCTTTAAGTCTCAGCGTGAGGTCCACGTACGTCAGGGAGGTCGTCATGAGAAACGGGACGTAACAGACGAATCACAGTGAGGGCAGGAACGCCAACATATACTTTACATCTGTGGAAGAGAATCTGTGGATGAATTTGGAAAAACACCAACGATGTACGGCTGTTGGTGGGAATGGACTGGTGTTTGGCGATGCAATGGGAATGTGATATGTATGAAAACTATTCAAGCCAAAGAATAAATAAATGAGTAAACAGAATGATGAGTGGAAAAACCCACAAACTACTGAAGTCAGCTGGAGCAACGGCAGAGCATCACAAAGTCTTTAGAGACGTCCATGTTCCAGACTTGTTCAACCACGAGCTGTTTGGAAACACTGTTATTGGCTAATGCTTTCTAATGCTTTCCAATTGCAACACAGCAGGATGGGGAACTGTTTTAAACGACACATCGGTTTTTAATTCCTGAAAGATATGAATGCCAAGTGATACGGCACAAACATGGGTGTGCAGCTGAGGTTACCACTTTAAGGAAGAGCACACGAAAGCCAAAGGTCATCCAGACTGAACTGTTTGATTTGTTGAACCCTTTAAACAGTCCCACACCAGTGTACTGTACTCACTCCCATGGGTTTACACAGTGGGTTATCTACAATGTCATATAGCTTTAAAAAAAAACTGGGTAACACTTCCTGTTAGATGGCTGCATGACTGAATGCTGGTTCACTCACTGCTGAGTGACTCTTATGCTGGCAGAGTAACAGTACAGGGGGATGCTTTGGCCTCAGCCTTTGTTATATCCCCATGTTGTGAGACTGACCGAGGTCAGTCTGTCACATGCTCCCATTCTTCTCAGCACACAGACTAAAGTGTCTTTGTGTTCAGAACAGCTTGACTACACGCTGAAGTTTGGACACCTTTTTCCAAACGATACGACCTCAGCTGGAGTTTTGAGGATGGTGGCAGAGAGCACTGCCCAACACTCGGTGCTTGCTGTAGGATATTATAGACATGCTTTTCATCAAAACATCCTTCTCATCCGGAGAGAAGTGTTTAAATCTAGGATAAAAGTTGTCTCGACTTCCGAGCGACTCGCTGTGACTGTTGTCAAAAACAACCCTGTGATTGTTTCGTTGCTGGGAGGTTACTGACCTGCAGATGACATGGAAGTTGCCGACTCGTCTGCGAGCGCTCGATAAGTAAAGTAGACGACCAGAATCTGGTGACCGGAGCAGCTGTGAGCAGCTGTTTGGTGTACTTTGGTTAGTAAATGGTAAATGGCCTGCATTTGTACAGCGCTTTACTCGTCCCTAAGGACCCCAAAGCACTTTACACCACATTCAGTCATCCACCCATTCACACACACATCCACACACTGGTGATGGCAGCTACATTGTAGCCACAGCCACCCTGGGGCGCACTGACAGAGGCGAGGCTGCCGGACACTGGCGCCACCGGGCCCTCTGACCACCACCAGTAGGCAAACACGGGGTTAGTATCTTGCCCAAGGATACTTGGCATGCAGATCGAACCACCGACCTTCTGATTAGTGGCTGACCTGCGCTGCCACCTGAGCTACAGCCAGAGCTACAACCCAGACCTCTTTTCAGTCAGTTTCACCTAGAAACTGCGAGCAGCTTGCCACAGTCAATACTTGACAACCGGTCAGGCAACACACATGTTTACTAGTGACCAGTGGTAACTATTTGCTGGCTAACTGGTCTCTAGGTCGATGTGACTGGTGGAGTCATGTAACACTGCTGATGGGGAAACATTGTTGAGCGTTAGTAAAGGGCTCCTCCTCATTCATAGCGTACAGTTAGCATTACATGTCATCATCGACGAGGACGTGGACATCAGAGTTAACTTACCCTACGGCAGGGGGAGGGGATTAACCTCTTTGCATTTACCTGGTCACCAGCAACCCATCTGGGGTGAGCAGCAGGTTTAGCTCAGCATAACCAAATGTAACAGCTGACATGATTGTATGAGCCTGAGATTAATGAGGTTAATGAACAAGCTGGAACGTTCCACATGTGACAAACACTAAACTATAGACGGCTGGTTTTAAACTTCCTGTTTATTCATGTTCATGAGCTGTTTTGTTAGTAACTGTGCCAACAGCACTAAAATAAGACACGCTCCACATGTAGGCTTCCCAGGGAACAGTTGCTGGGTTGAATGCTGCTGATGTGCCCGTGAGCACTGTGTTGCTCTTTGTTCGCTCCAACAACAGCCTCCTTGTTGCTTCAGCTTTCAGCTACTGATCACATGAGAGCTGCTAATGATCTTATACAAGTACGAGCGCAGCGTTGCTTTGTTCGGTGAAGTGTTGACGTTTTTATACATTTGTCCACTCAGTTTGTGGACACACACACACACACACACACACACACACACACACACACACACACACACACATGTGACAGGTGAGCAGTGTGAACCTGAGAACACACACGTGGTTTCACACGTTGTGTTTGTGTGTGAGGCCTGATCACACATGACTGGGTCTGAGGAGCCGCAGTGATGCTGTGGCTGGTTCAGCAGGTACACACAGAGGCTCACAGGGTGAAGGTGGAGGCCGGAGCGTGGGCGGAGCCTGCAGCAGGGTCTTCAAATGTTGGGGCCTGTCAGTTATTTTTAGGTCACACACAGGCTACACTCAGCACGGTAGATGCACACACTAGCGCCACCTGCTGACAACATATCAGGTGTGTAGACAGCCACCGTGTGTGTGTGTGTTATCACATGTAGCGGAGCTGGTCGGGCTCTCTAAGGTCTTCCCTGTAGTGACGCTGCTCTCCTCTGCACCACATTCAGGCTGTAAGCAGGTCCCACACACCCACAGCCAGCTGTGACAGGACCAGCGTGCTTTCAACAGCATGTGAGTCTCTGTCCATGTGAGGGGAGTCTGCTCTTGTACTTGATGCCTTTTCTGTCTGTGTCTGCAGGCTGACTGGATCATCACTGTGCTGCGCTCCAGCTGGACTGAGCTGTTAGCAGACCAAAGGTAACTGGCCTGAAAGCACGTGAGCCCTTTGAATCACGGACACATGCATGTGCTGACTGGTTTGAATGGGTCACTTCACACAGCTGTTAAGAAAAGTGATTTAGAAAATGATTTCTAGAAAAACTAAAAACAAATAGAAGAGCTGCTGTAACAGGCTGCAGGCACATGGTCCACCCGTCCTCTTCAGCCATCAGCGTCACATCAGCAGAGACAGACTCCCCTCTGCCTGCTGCCTCTGTAGAGTGCTGCTCCACACATGTACACCAGCTCCAGTTCAGACCCTGTTTCATCAGGAAGGATAAAAACCTGTGCAGCCCCTCGTGAGTGAGGGAGCAGCCAAAGTCGTCCTCTCTGTTTCTGTCACATGTCCAAAAGTCTTTGAACTGCAGTCTCATAGTTGATCTTAAAATTTGTGTAAGGGTAAGTGGGTGGCGCCCAACTGATGGTGCAAAGTTCTGTCGTGGTTTCCAAAATAAAAAAGGGAACAGCAGCCCCACCTGCTTCGAGTACTCCAGGAGAGTAGACTCCACTGTGAGCTCTGTGGACAACCGAACAGCTCTGTAGTGAGTGGCTCCAGCCTTCACCCACAGCCAGTTCTGAGTGCTGGTGGTAGGGCTGTGACCTCCCGATATAAAACATCTATCGTCCGATAACGATATAAATCACAAAAATGTAACATTTTCTGTCAATAGCTAGGTTTCATTTGACGTAGACGTGACGTCGACGTAAAGCGCGAAATTTGACTGGCGGTCGGAAGTGAAAAAGATAAGCGCAAAATCACAG